TGAAATGTGCGTAGCGTCCAGCATTCATGCGTTCATTTGTTGTCATGCCGAGAACCATGATCTAATAAAACAAAACAATTATGAACAAATTCGGGTAATAATGCAAATAACCGAAAATTTCGAATAACCTTACCTGATAACACTGACATGCGAGCAGCATACCAACCCAAAAGAAATGCAGAGATGTGTTCGCCGTGATCCACATTACCCAAGCGTCGCAAGTAGCTGCAGCGACCAGATAATTGTCAGCGGTGTGCCCATTTGTTAAGTTTGTCCAACATTCAAACTGCCAATACTGTACACTAGCGGATAAAATAACAATACAGAGCCCTAACAACGACACTAAAAATACCAGAAAGTACTTGTGGTTATGCGCACCTGAAATCAGTTTCCAAGAATGGAAGAACGTTAAAATTTACGTTAGTTACGTTGGATTGTCTAGCCCAGTGGTTCTCAAACTGCAGTTCAAAAACTCTTAATTTGAGAAATACTGGCCTAGAGTTACTGCTTCTTTAGACACATTACAAAAGTAAAGAATCTTTCAACAATTTTGTTTTCCGTTGACTCACCGATGCAATTATTGACCCAAGGACAGTGATGATCGAATCGCGCTACGCAGCGGTCGCACGTAGAACAGTGTTTGGACCTCAAAGGTCTTCTGACCAAGCAACTGCTGCAAAATGATTGCGGCTCGAAGCCTCCGGATTCTGCTAATTCTATAATCGTCTGAAAAATAAAGAACTTAATGAACATGTTTTATATAGAGAAAATACAATCGTTTCTTTGAATCTTACATTCAACTTGTCCTCGTGCGTAGCTGTAATTACACCTGGATCGCCCCTCCAGGATTGTAAGAAACATATCCACAATGGTACCGATCCTCCTACCAGTAATAACCACAAATACCATGCAGCGTGTAAGCCTAACCAGAATATCCATGTAACATATATCCACATCTGTAACAAATAAAAAATAATATACGAATAATAGTTATAAGACTTGCTTGATCTCTCAGAATAAATGATAGTTGTATTCGTTAGTAAAACGCGGATAGATATCAATATGGAGTACGAGGAATCTTAATCTAAAATACGATAAGAAAAATGAACAATATTGGCTTTCAATAAAGGGAATGAACATCAATCAAGATACATAGTGTTAGGAATATTTGTAGTTGTTGATAATATCATTGTATGAATTTGTCGTGCGTGTTATCCGAAAAAGATGTTTCGCGATAAGAAGGTTTTCTTATCTACCTAAGATATACATATAAAAGTCGATCCCTGCAAACCCATCATGAATCCATGCGATACATTACATCGAAAAATGTCCAAGCACTCACCTTCGTAGCCAGATAAATTGACATCGGTAAAATATGACACAATCGTTCGTCAAACACGAAATGATTTGTTAAATACAATGCCATATAAAGTATAATAAAGGCACCAATTTTTTCTAGATATTCCAATCCGCTATGGAAAATCATTCCGATTGCATAAAAAACTATAAATGGCGTACTGACCATACAGTACCAACGCATTCTCTGAAAGGAAAGAAATACAGATTAGAGGACAAGATCGTCTCGGTAATCCGGCTCGTAAGGAATTAAACGACGAATCTACATACTTTATCTCTACACCACGTTCTTGATCTGCCCTGTTTTTCTTTGATTTCCTGATTGATTTTGTGTCCCAACCAGGCGGCTCCAATGTGACGACCTAACAAGGTCATCGCTGTCTCATCTCGCATATTCGGCACATCTAGCGATGCGCCGTGGTTAACTAACGTGAATATTGCTGTACTGTTTTCAGCAATAATAGCCCAATGCAAAGCTGTGTTGCCGTGTAAATTATCCGCGAGCGAATGGGACGCTCCCAAGGTCAGCAACAAGCGTGTTGGATCTAAACTGTAAAGAACAAAATTTTTAGATATATAATTAATATAATCGCTTGCAAATGATCCTATTACTTTCTTGTATGTACCTATTAACTTTATAGGCACTCCACATGAGAGGTGTCATGGCAGTTCTGTCTGGCATATTTGGATTTACTCCTTTCGCGACTAAGTAAGCAACAATAGAGGTATGACCAAATTGTGCTGCTAAATGAATACAAGAGAATCCCTCTGAATCTCTGAGAGTTGGATCTGCACCTGCTCTCATCAATAACACAACTGTAGCCAAGTGGCCTTGTCTGGAAATAAATGATACTTATTTTATCATAATGCTTACATTTAAGAAGTTAAAACCTATCATTATAATGTAAAATTAACCTTGTAGCCCAATGTAATGGTGTAGAAGCAAGCTCTCCACCAATTGCATCTACAACAGCTCCCTTTGCTATAAGATATTTCACAATATCCTTTCTATTGTTTATTGCAGCCCAATGTAATAGTGTTACAGTTTCTGAATCTGGTTGATTTACATCAGCACCAGCTTCCACTAATTCTGTCACACGATCCAATGCCCCAAACTAGAAAAAATACATTTCTTGAAGAACAGAACATATCAAGCCATGATAAGTGATGGTAAACATTCACTTACCTGTGTTGCTCTAACAATGTCAAATGAACTACAATCCTGCACTGGAGGTCTAGCAGGTTCCTGATGATGAGTACTTGGATCATCAGGCTCCCCACTGGCTTCACTTTGGCAGGCAGTTTGCATTTTTAACGCATACATGTTGAATTTGTTGATATCAACTTATGTACTAAGTCATAGATACCATGAAAGGTAATGTGTGCAGTAACAAATGGTTTAAACTGCTTAGTATAAGTGGAATATTACTGAAACAAATGAATTTATCTATTTTGGTTCTAGAAAAGTATTAGTTGAAGATAAATAAAAAATGATCTGAATTGAGATGTTGACTCATAAAGATTCAGTAAACAAAAATAGAGATGTTTAGGAATAAAGTGCAAGGATTTACTAAAGGAAGCATTACCATAAACGTAAAAACTAACTTCAGAAGCAAAAGACAATAAGTAGTTTTTAGTGTAAGGAAAATATGGACAAATGTGTTGAGGTGTAATCAATATTTATTTATGCGTGTCGTGAAATATACGAACAGAGTTACATTCGAAATAAAAATAATTCCATTACGATCACGCGACAAATACGATCGCGAAGAGAGAAAATAATATTTCAGCTAACATCGGTGTCTATTCTAAAGTTGCAATGTTCGCGAGTACAAAATACCGTCGCAACGACAAATCATCGATATTATTCTCGTGAATGTTCTCCATCCGGCGGTTAATATCGCTCGATTTAGCCGACGGCAATCAATCCGTCGTTTGTATTCACCAAGTACTACGCGTAGTAAATACGATGTGTACTACGAAAGGTACATCGAGGCATACTGTAAATCGATTCGATATTCGAGTCAGGGACTAACGATAAACGTCGCAGTGCACGATTCTTTCATTCTTGTGAAATTCTCAGTCATACTGGATTCTACAGAAACTTTGTTTTGCCGTCGGTGTAATTACAGGTACAGAGTACAACATACAATTCTTTTTTCTCTATGGAAAAAGCGACTGGTAAATGTCAAGATCACAGATTATTCATTAGACACGACGGATTGCATTTCGTCTAACAAAGCGACGGAACGATTAGCTTGCAGGTAAAGGGAGCATCTCAAAGCGGCGGAACGATTAGCTTGCAGGTAAAGGAGGCATCTCAAAGCGACGGAACGATTAGCTTACAGGTAAAGGAGGCACAATCTTGTGATTGTATCAGTACGAGCAAGTTGACAATGTCGTGTCTTACCTGGCAAGCAATGACAGCGATGATAATACTCGTACATAGTACGCGTGCTACCCTCCAATACGTCGTAAGGGGTTAGATTTAAAGGATAAACAGTCGACGGGGGTGGGGCGCCGGTACATTGTATAGAATCCGGACAACGGTCGACCTTTTCCCTGGCTATAGAAAAACACCCCTCTTGAGACTGTTCTTTTCTCGACGATCCAGGATAACACGTTCCTCTTTTATTTGTAGCACGGTTTCATCGCTGTCTAACGCGTAGCCTTCGTGGCGTGAAATAGAAACACGCGCCACTTATCGCACTGATACACGATGTATTGTTCGCATCAACATGTACATTCTACTTTCTCAAGTTTCGCGACGGACTTCTTATTGACCAAACGGCTTCGCAAGCCGCCCGATCGGTAGCCGATACTCATCGAACGAACTTGATATGACGACTGTGGCGACTTGTGGTGACAAATTCTATACCAGTCACCAGAGGGCTACTTGGAACACAACTCACTAAACTAGTATACATAACTAAGTTAATCAATAAGTGTCTTATCTAATTGTTGTATGTACAATTGTAACAACTGTTAACTCTGGTGTATGATTTGAGCCTAGCATTTTAAGAAAACAAATAAAAACATATTGCTCAGTGCTTTAGTCTTAGTGGCGCCATCGGTGGTAAAACGTCCAAGTTTGTTGTGAAAATAGTTCTCTCCGTATCCACCAGATGGCGCGTGGTTTAGTTTTAGTGGCGCCATCAATGGGAAAACTCTCAAGTTTGTAGTCAAATTAATTCCCACCATTTCTATAAGATGTCGCTACTAACTAAAAAATCACTAAATATTTCCGTGTTAAATTTCTATTCATACAAAACAATAAATTGAGGTATGTATTGTAGTATTATAAAGCAAACAATTGCATTAATTACGAATTTATGAAAAATAGAGAATAATATTGTAAAATATATTGTGGCGTCATCTTATAGAAACTTTGGAAACTATTTTGACAACAAACTTGGCCGTTTTCACACAGATGGCGCCATTAAATCTAAACCACGCGCCATCTGGCGAATATAGAGAGAATTACTTTCACTACAAACTTAGCCGTTTTCCCGCCGATGGCGCCACTAAAAAAAATAAATAAAACTATAGTAATACGTGTCGCCCAACAACAAAGCTGTGCAGGAAAGGCTTAAATAATAGTAACGACACTTAAATAATTCATTGACATGTTGCTGTTTGAAAAATTTGGATTTTCTCATTCATCATTTTCTAACCAATCATGAGATTCCAAATATTGTTTTGGGTTGATGAATCTAGTAAAGTTGATGTTCATGGATACAGGCAGCAGGCTTAGTTGTTCCCCTACTCACTACCTGTTTTCCCGCGGATTTTGTTACGATTCCGATCCGGTAGTAATGTGTTCTCGGTGTATTATTTCTTTAAAAGTACACTGAAGTGCATTAAATTAATATCTTTATGTAACACTTTAATTTTGGAACTTGTACGGGGTAAATGTTCATACGTTAATCTTAGTTTTCATGTCTTTCGCGTTTACCTAATAAAGTATTACTTAGGTTATAGTAATGTGCCATTGACAGATTGCTCTTTAATTTTGTTACTCGTGGAAATGCTATAAAATAAGGGGCATATTCGAGAGTATCGCGGTAAGATAAATACAAAATACAATTTTTTACATTTTCATTCTTCTATTGTTTACACAATGGAGTTGGAGGTTATCTTATATTTATCCGTTATAAGGACACCTGAGATGAAAATGATGGACATTAATGAGCAAGATGACTGCTACATCGATGGAGTTACTCCTACCAAAAAAAAGAAGATGAAACAAGGTACGGAGATGAACAGTCGTAGACAAGACAATTTCTTTGATTGAGTTTTAAGACTCAACCATTCTTGTAATCCTTGATATATATTAGTTTGAAATATTTGAAATGTTTCAGCTCAACTGCCATTTCAAATGCAAAGTCCCAAACAGTCACAAAACAGTGTGCAAAGTAAAAAAAGAAAATTAACATCGCCATCTGTGAATTGCCCAAATCCAAAAGCAATAAAAATTTCAAAAATGAATAAGAATCATGATATTGCAAATAAATTAAAAGATGATGCTAATAATTCACTGGAGGAGAGCAACAAATCAAAGGAGGTGGTAGATGATATAGAAATAGTGGATGTGAAAGAGAATAAAATATCCAATAAAGTGGAAAGTACAAGCAAGAATAGGACTCCAAAACGATCCTCAACAGGACAAAAGAGATCAGAGACAATGGATAAAGTCAAGTCAAGTCCATTATCACAGTTCCTAAAAAAAACTGACAAAGATGAGGAGAATCTGAAAGGAAATCAACAGAATTTTATACAAAACCAAGAGGACGAATCTATTCTTAAGAGGAAAAAAGCTGAACATTTGGTTACAAATAGTTCTTCGAGTTGTCAGAACAATGAACAAAATACAGAACAAAGAACAAAAACCAGTAGCCCAAAACCTTACGAAAATCTTAAAGTGAAACTCCCTTCTGAATCTGATGTCACTATCTCTTTGGACAACAAAGGCAAAGAACAACAAATAAAATCAATTAATAATGTAAAAAAGAGTAAAAAAATTGGTAGTCCGAAAATTCTCGAGGCTCTCAAACTTGAAAAGGTGAAACATTCTGATTCCGATATGTCTTCAGATAATGAAGACAAAGACGAACAAACAAAATCAACCGAAAACACGAAAAAGAGTACAAAACCTAGTTTTCAAGAAAATAAGATTCTGAAACTGGAATTGACGAAACTTCCCTCTCCTCGTACCGATTCCGATATTGTCATCCTGTCTTCTGACAAAGAAGACAAAGAGGAACATACGAAATCGAAGGAAAATACAAAGCAAAATATAAAAGTACATAGTCCAACTATCCTCAAGACTCCCAAAGTTGACAAGGTGAAACAGAAGAGAGTAACACCGAAACAACAAGAAAAGAAATTACTGAGCGCTCAGAAGAAGGCAGAAAGAGAGCAACAAAAGCTGGTAAATTGCAACATTTTTATATAAGTAATAAATTTGTTTTTTATATATATATATATATAACGCATTGTTTTACTTGTCCAGGAAAAGGAAAAAAGACTGGAAGAGGAACGACAGAATCGACAGAAAGAAAAGGAAGAGAGACGCCGCGAGAAGGAGGAGAAAGAGAAAGCGGAGAAAGAGCAAAAATTGATGGAACGGAAAATGAAAGACCTGAAGAAACAAATGGAAATGGAGTACGGATATTTACGATCGTAGCGATTCACGTGGCTTTTGCGAATTTTCATCGATTTCTGAGATAACATGAATTCGTTTACAGACAGAAGCAGAAAGAGAAGCAAGCGAAGGAGGAGGAGCGTAAAAAGCGAGAGGACGAGAAGAAGAAGAAGGAGGAAGAAAAAATGGAGGCTGAACGTAAGAAGCAGAAGGCAGCTTCGAATTTCACCAGTTTCTTTGTTGCTAAAAAACAGGAGAAATCCGTTGAAGAGGAAAGCGCTACCGAAGGCAAAAACTTTATGCCTTTCGAAGTAAAAGCGGACATGAAATTGGCTCCAGTCTGTAGAAGAACGTTAAGCGAGCAGGAGAAGCTGTCACTGGATGAACAATGCAACAAAGAAAATATACAAATGTCAGACTTGTATCTGAATGAGATCAAAAATAAAAAAGTTATCCCGCGCAAATCACCGAAAACATGGCCGTTCGAAGCAAAGGATGACGAAGTAATTTTGTTAGGTAAACATCGCATTTTCTTCCGCAAACTTTTGGTTCCAAATACTGTATTATAATCGTATTTCATTTGTCTATAGACGATGAAAATGATGGCAACTCGAACATCGTGAAGCAAAACATCGTCATCGAGAAACAACGGACCAAATTACTTCAGTTCTCAGAAAACAGGCGTCCGCCATATTGGGGCACGTGGCGAAAGCGAAGCTGCAGTATTAACCCTCGAAAACCATTCTCGAGGGATACGGTGAGTACAGAAATAATTATAACAGAATAGATTTCTCGGAATGGTAGTATGTTGGTATGAGTACACCTGACAGCAAAGCTTGTCGCCTTTTATATGGTATAATTGAAGAAGACAAGGCATTTCGACAACATTTATTATTACTTCTTAATATTTATTCAATTTGATGCGATAGCTCGAACCATTTTAAAGTTAGACTACAGCGGTAGTCGGACTTAATCCCTTTTATCGGTTTCTCTCAACGCTTCTTTATTTCGCTGCATCGAAGTGGACGTTGGTAATTCTCGATTAAGTACATCATGGAAACCACAGAGAAAATTCCTTCAACGTTTATTCGTCCGGTGGTGTCTGTCAAGCTTTACTTAAGGACAATTTATTAAATCTCCGTTGGCAAAATGTTCTTCCCGCCGCGCAGTCCTCTGCCACCGTGGAACAGTGGATACGCGTTTTTTCTGTGCACCTTGCGATGCTTGGCTAGGTGGTCGCTGCGCGCGAATCTCTTGGAACACATCTCGCAAGGATATGGTTTAACGCCTGAATGCGAACGCCTGTGCCTCGCCAACTCGTCGGACCGACTGAAGCGCCAACCGCAGCCGGACCATGTGCAGGCGAACGGTTTCTCCCCGGTGTGACGACGAAGATGGGCCTTCAAGTGAGATGCCTTCGCGTATACCTGAACAGAAGAGAAGAAGAGTGCGATTAACGTCTATAGGAAGGATAATTCGCCGTGCGGATTACTGGAGCGTTCATTTGTGGAGCAATTTGCCAAGTGAAATTCTATTCGAATGTTGAGTGGTTTGAAATGTACCTTCACGCATCCTTGGTAAGTGCAAGGGAAGCATCGGTCCTCCGCCGCATTGGCCAGACTGCGGTTAGTGTAGTCGTGTGTTGCTAGTGCTGCGGTAGCTGCTGATGAGATGAGGTTCTCCTCTAATTGATTGTTATTGTAGTCTGTAATCGACAGACGTTGGAAGTTAGAGGATGGGAATTACTTAAATGACAAGAGAAGATAAAGGATCGGAAAGTTAATTATGGTTTGCATTGACAGCGAACTGAAGCAGCCTTTCATCCTAAATCAATGTTTACGGATTCAGTGGTCCCTCTGTTGTTGATTCTCGAGCTCGATTTTAGTCTAAACGTTCTTCCCCCCGCCATATTTCAATAATGCTTCAAACTTGCCTATTCCACTCGTTTCTAAAGTATCCTCGAGTGCTCTCAAATCGATCCCAAGCACCCATAATGGTTCCTCCCGTTGAAACGTTTGTTGAGGGTTTGGTAGAGGCAAGTGTAAAAAACCCTCGCAACCCGCTGTGCACAACGGTGTCCTCTCTGGTAGCCCAGAGTTCCAACTTTTATCTAGGCACCATTCCAACTCCGAGTCTAGTTCGCTTAGTTCGCTCAGACACCCTGCATATAACAATAATCAAGAAGTGATTTCAATAGATATTTGAATAGTCTTTAACATGCCAATTGAACCTTCTTCTAGACTATGCAGCGAGCTAAGAAACATTGAGAACCTCCGAATTAAATTACGACGTACCTGAGGACGCGGAGGTGTTGGACCACTCGTTCCATGGTGTCTTCGTAGGGCAAGTCAGGTCCGTGTAACACTCGATAGAGTTGGTGACGTTGGTCACGTGTCTGTCGATAGTCTCTGAGTCGTCGCTGCACGGCGTCGTTCTGCAAGACGACGTCTCGAAGTCGCTGGGCAAGCATGTGACGGAGTTGGAGGAGAATAGTTGCCTCTCGATACCTGTGTCGGTGGTCAGGCCCAACGCGGAGAACAATAACTCGTCCGTCATCTGAATCGAAAAAAAAGTAAATGTTTGAACGACGGAATGACGCTCGAGACTGTTTATTGTTGCGGGAGCACCGCGACGCTTGGCCTGGATTAATCGCACGGTTGCCCGGCGATACCGACCATAAGTCATGCAATGCGAACGGTCTATATCTGTCGATTAAAATTCAATTCTATTTCGAGATATCGGAGTCCGAAAGAAAGAGGGAAATATATGGAATGGCCGAGATGAACGATCTCCTTTTCGTTTATTTCTGTCGCGATAGCTGTTCGAACGTTTATGGTGGATTGTGCTGGTCAGATACGATAGATACCAACGGTAATAGTCGCTATTGCAGGATGTAACAATCTCTGTTAACGTCGTTTCAGTACGAACATGCCAACGACTCAGAAAATTTCGTCAAGTCAAAGTCAAGTTTGCGATCAAGTTCTCTAGCGAGACAAGTATTGCCATTTCTCACGTATCACGTGGATATTCAATTTGGATCATATTATTTTGGCACAATGACTTAAGGTTCCTCGATGCGAGTCGCGTCTAGTAATGTCTGGACGTCAAACTGTTCCGTCAGCGACGCAGTTTCATCAGTCGGATGGAACACTGATATTGTGTATCAGTGGCGAAACATTGCTGTCCAGATACTATTGGACGCTGCTTCCACCCGGAAGCCTCGGGACGTATTAATACTGATTGCGTCTGAACGCATCGAGCCTTCAATTATGACATACAATCTCGCTGTTATTTGTAGAAATCAATTCTATGCGAATATTTTGTTTATAACAAAATCTAATTTTGTTAATCTTAGAGCAGACGCTTGACGCAATTTCATTTAATTTAATTAATTTCTTTAATTATGTAATGGACGATGTGTAATGTTTGGAAAGTCTACGTATCACGAAGACAACGTCGTTTTGTACTCACGTCGAACATCGCAGCTTCTTCTATCATTTTACCCTCGATTCGGAACTTGAAATCGTTTCTTCGCTAAATCAACGCTGCAGTTTAATTCTTTGTATCTGTTTCTATTAATTCCTCGCATACAGTTGTTTTACCATCAATCACTGTCTCGATTTTCTTTGCGCATTATCACTTCCGATTTCCACTGTTACAAGGTTCCCGACGTTACGCGACGAACAAGTTGCAAATCAATTCGCGCCTCTTTTTCCTCAATCAACTCTACTCTTGAAATAGTCTTTTATATCTGTTTCATAAGATCAATCAGTCGGTGGCTAACAAACTTCTCTTCTGTTTGCTTGTAGAGATTTTCACGCTATTTGTTTCTCGCCGTTTATCGGATCACAAACGTTCTTCGATATGGGATGAAAACAATCCTCTGATGGGACTTTTATTCGAATAACTCGATCTCAATTTCTATCGATCTTGAAATATAGCCTACAAGGTTTGGGTTTAATGATGATTGGTACGGTAGCGTTCGTTTGCCAAAAGAGGTCTGAGTCAAAGTCTTCTTGTACTGTAACGACGCTTGACTTCCTGTTTGGATATGCAATAGTCCCAGGAAGATTACATCACAGTGTCGAATACAAGAGCGGTCACTTTGAGAATGATCACTCGAATAGTGTCCACTCGCTGTGGAGGATAAGGCAAGCAGCTAACTCGTTAAATACTGATCAGTGTCTGCAAAGTATCGGCTATTTATCACTCAAAATCTTCTTGAACTCAACACCAAGCTTCTGTTCTCTTCACTCCATAAATATATATATATTATGGTATCTGATAGCGATAGTGTCCACTTCTAAACCAGGACCTATCAGCTTCGCAGGTCCAACAAACGACTATGATCACTCTGAACCGATAAACAAGGATGAATTCTAATAATTTACTCCTCCGAAGACGATCAAGACGAACACCGTCCACTCCTGAGGAGGACCTATCGATCGTCCGCGAGCCAAAGGCTTGTTCAAGCGTGCAAGGAGTCGCGCTGACGGTTGCACCCTCTTGGACCGGTAGTTTCGCGGCCGAGTGACGCGTGTAGACTGCGTTCGTGGATCCAGAAGACGCGGACGAGTCGTATGACAGGGCACACGGTTCGAGAGATAATCGGAGGCTGTGCCACCCGGCGCCGTCACCGTGGCTCTCCCCAGGGATCGAGGCAGCCGATCCCAGAACACCGTCAGACGCGCCAGCGAATCGGCTTCCTGGCTAATTGGTCGGTTAAACTCGCTTATTTACGATACCACCTACTACCCTGTCCGATAATCGGCGCCTCTCTCGCGAGATTTCTGCGAGACAGACCCGCGGGAGAGGTTTCCCGACGAGGACGAGCGATCCTCGCTGATGACCGAACGATTGTCCGAGCGTGGACCGCACGTGGCCTCTCGACGCTTATCTGGACGACGGCGACGATGTTGATTCGTTTTTTTCCACCGTCACTCTGCACGCTTTGCAAGAAATTCGCACACCATGGTCCCAAAGGCCTGCGCTATTTTTTTCCACTTTTTATTGGGGGACTCGCTTCGCTCGCGTTTGTCAAATATTTTTACCCACTTGCTGAGGCATTGCTAAATTTCCATGCAAGGTCCTCTAGTCGTCGTTGAAGCGCGGAATAATTATTTAGGACCATCTTTTTTGATTATACAGGTTGTTTGCGTCACGTATATCTCCGTTTCGTACACTTCCAAACGAATGTATCAATGAAACGTCTATATAATGCAGTGGCTTTGACCTAGAGCGACAAGAAGAACATAGCGGCGATAAAGTGGCCGAAGTCACTGCCACTAGGCTCTGAATCGCTTGTAATACGTTTATCCGTATCGAGGGAGGCTGACCTTAGATACAATTATATATATTTTGCATTGATTCAAGAGTCAAGAGCACGCTGCAACCCGAGAGGTGCAGCGTAACGTCCTGCGTAATAACCTTTCGTTACGAATGCTCGCTCCTTTTGGTCGTGTTCGATCGTGTACGTGTACGTTTGTTTACGCGCTTTCGCGACAAAATACTCGTTAACAGATGAGTGGAAAAGTAGGCTGACAATTATTATCAAAGTTCGTGTAGTTTTAAGACCTTTAATACAGAGGAAAGGTGAGATGAATTAAAGTGGTGGAGGATATCATAATGTGATTTTTTGCAAAGGGAGTTTATTAAAATAATAGTTTTGTTCTTGAATGGACATTTTCTAAATCATCATTCTCTACTATAAAAAGTTAAGGGATGCTCTGCGTAGACGGTGCTAATGGTTATCACGCGTTATGAAAAACAGACCACCGTACGTCGACATCGATCTATCGTTTGTCTCTTATCTGTTCGATTGTCCGCGAGAGGGTTGCGTATCTTTTAACGTAAACGCTTCGAGATCCGTTACACTCGCTCACGACGAAAGCGATTCGAGAAAATCAAGCTGGACGCGCCAGGGAATTCCTATATTATTCAAATAAAACAAAACATGAATGAACAAGAAACGCGTATCGTCGATTTTACATTCTCCGCCATTTTGTTTTTTCTAAATAACTTTGATCGACGATGGTAACATGTATTCCACGAAATTTATACGCTCGCAGATAGCAACCACGATTATCTAATGACGCGTTTGGACAACTCTCGTCGTCGTAGAACGATTAAACCATGCCCCGGTCGTATAATCGTGGTGTCTAAAATTTACTTGACCGTTCGCGAAGATTGACCCTATCTACCCTCCAGGGATATTTATTAATTGCACTCGGTTGCGTCACCTCGCTTCGATAAAAGAGTTTCGCGATTTAATGTGCTCGTTTGCAATCGTTGCGAGTTCCAATAACCAGTATCGGTTTCTTCGATACCGAGATATCGCGAAACCCGCAATATACCTTGCTTTTTTAAAAATGTAATTTTGCATAAACGATTCTCTCCGTTTCTCACGTCCCATGCGATAAGGCGTAATTCATAATTTAGAATGTCCTCCCTTGAAGGATTAAAATCGACGTTGTATTACCTACATACCTTAAATAAACGAATAAGCTTCGGTTAAACGGTGGCAGAGCAATGGACGAGCAATAAAATCCGCGAGAGAGCCGAAATTGTGAAATAAATCAATTCCCGACCGGAGGGATTTTAATCTCCGGTGTGCACCACGAGGAGCACCGGCCATAATCTTAATGGGGCATAAAACAGCCATTACAGATGGCCCGGCGGGTGACAACACGCTGTAAATAATGTACGTCACTTCGCCAGGCACCGATTTAACGTCACGCATCGCGTTAGCCTGATAACTGCATTTGGGTGCATCTTGCCAGACGTCGCACGCTTTTCCACGCCGCGGTGGAAACGTTAGATCAGCCACCCTACTCGTGATTAATGTGAAATTCACTCTTTCATCGTTTGCAGTCGTCTGGCTTAAGGAGTTAGGGATGCTTGCGGGCTCGAAAAAAGGCACTCCTTCACGAATTTTGTTCTATCCTCACTTGATACATTTCGTAATCAGTGTTTCTCTATTCGAGAGATGATGCATGCTTGAAGATATAACGCAAACATTTTCATCAAAAAATAACTTTTTATCAACGTGGTAATTGTCATTTATTAATCGGGGGTAAATAAAGGGCACCTACCTCTTCGTCGCTGCCGAAAGCTGCCCAACTGGTATCCGGTTCCCTTTTCTCCGTCCGGTTTTCCGCGTTACGTCTTCAACGACGCAGGGGCGCCGATCATTCGCGGTTTCTCTCTTCAATAATAAATTAATGTCCCGGGAATCTCTTGTAATTGATGCTTGCGCGGGGATGAAATCGACGTTGATTTATCGAACAAAGAATCGCACCGTGGTGCGCCACAAAAGAGAAGAAACCCGACGATTTATCGACTTTTCGACCACGGATACGTTCGATCGAGAAGACGTTGCTGGTTTTGTCGTTGGCGATATCAATCGAGGCTAATCGCGTTCACGAAATTTCTACCGTATTCTGTCTTCGTCCCGCGTAGAACTTTCGCTCACTTATCGTCGTATAATGTAGAATTTAGACGCGATATCGCTTTAAATAGATCAGTAAAAATAGCTACAAATATAAGCTACCAAGTTGCATTTGACGAGTAACGCTGCGCGCTCGTCGCTTCCTTAATCTTTGAACGATCCAGAAAAAGAGAAAAATGGAGAAGGTTTTGTTCCTTGGACAGTCGAGACGTAGATTAAAGTTTGAGTCTATTTAGCTTCTCGATCTTTGACGTATATTAGAGAGTAAAAAATGTATTATTTCTTCCAAAAGGAAACTTTTCCTAAGCGACACGGTGACTTCCTCTCGATGTTAACGCTGTTAGTTTCCATACTCGTCCATCTTCTTGACTTTTGCATGAACCACTTGTTCCTCCGGATCAGGACCAAGAATGCGGATCGAGTGGGTCTCTGGTAAATAGAAGATTGCTTTCACCTTGTAGATTGACTCGATTACCGTCGTGTCTCGACTGGATGTATTACTCGTCGTCTGGATCGTTTAAAGTACTCAGAATGTCACACATTTCACCGCTGCGCCAAAGGTCGCCAGCTTTCTATCCCTTAATGCCTTCTTGCGTTTTCCTCGAATTCGATACCCTTCGAACGATTTGGTTGTCGATGGTGAAAATACGCCGTGAGGTGGAATAATCGATTTCACACGGGGTAGAATTTATCTACATTTTGAGAGAGAAGAACCGCCGCGTATTCCCGGCTCCAATTGCTCCGTGACTAACAATAAGAGGAAAGAATCAGAGAAACAAGCGTGGACCGGCACGCGCACTCGCGCTGGTCGACACGAAGCCGCGATTATCGCTCGTCAAGGAAGTCGCATTGATACCGACGTCCTGCTTAATCATAGCAGACTCCAGTGAAATCCAGTGGCCGTGATCGTAACTAAAATAAACGGCATGGAAAACTGACGATAACGAGCCGAGAAACGACCGCGCCTTGCACGATGCGTCGTGACGCTCCTATCAAACCACGACGCCTGTCTAAAGGACGCCTAGGTGATCCAAAAAGAATGTTACAATGATTTATTTTTTATACAATGATTGCTGTTTTCTCGCTATATCTGCTTCATTTGATAATCATTTTGTAAATCCACAAGGGCAAAGAAAAGAAGGGGAAACTTTGAACCACAATGGTCCTCCGGTTTTATTAAAGGGAACTTCCACGTTCTTGTTTCAGAAATGGTTCAACTACGAGGTAGATTCGGACGAGGAGTGGGAGGAAGAGGAGCCAGGCGAGTCTCTGCATGGTTCCGACGAAGAACGGGACGAAGAAAATCCAGATGATAACGAGTATGACGTGGACAATGAATTCATGGTACCTCACGGGTGAGTAGAGAGAGAGAGAGAGAGTTTCATTATATTTTAACGTTTTTATAAATCATCTGTCTTTAATTGGTTTTTCTTGTGCAATGTTTCAGGTACCTATCCGATGAGGAATTAAGGGCTGACGAAGAAGAGAAGGTGGACATGGTAAGTGTTTCTATACACATTCTATACTAAAGATTATTTATAAAATGAATCTGATTTTCGAACTTTGTTTTGGTTTGTTTGCAGTCGCCTGAAACGCAAAAATATAAATTAAAGGTATTGGGGGAACAATTTGAGACCGAGAGAAACACGAAGACGTCGAAATTAAAACCAAAAATAATTGGCTGCGTGTGGAGGGGCCCTGAAAATACGTTCTTAGGAAACGGTGAGTATTATGAAATTTTCATTAACAGGCAAAGAAATCAATCGATCAAAACAGTTGGAAATATGTTGCGATATTCTTCTTGGGCGCGCCTAGCAATAGGCAACCCGTCGCACGCGCGCGTCGGTACCTTACGATGGCGCGATTCGCGTCGTATCCTCGAGAAAATTGTCTTCTGCTTTCAGTACCGCAAAGAACCATGGACTTTCTGTCAGCCCACGAGGCCTGGGCGCGTCAGGTACCGGTGACGTTGCCAACATCCACCGAAAACGAAGCTGCGGAGAATGGTTTGTCCACACAGCAACAAGCGGCGTCCTCGTCGAAGAAGACGAAAATACCAGAAGAGGCTCTGCCCGAGCTGATCCGACTGATACACGGCAACACTCACGGTAGCAAGTTCCTCGCTAGGGAATTCGTATCTTATTGGAGCACGCAGAACGAGGAGAACAAAATGTCAAAGTACGGTGTGTACCGAAAAATCCGAAAAATCGGCAAGTGGATGTTGTGCCCAGAAGAAGGCCCAATGCATAAGAAGTTTTGCTGGTACGTGCCTGAAGATATACAAAACGAGTACCTCGGTGAGAAGCTTTCACTGCCCAATCGCTGGTCGTACACCTTGGCTCCTACGAGGAAAAGCGACGTCATCGAGGTTGTTGAGAAGACGGAGAAGGAAGAGAAGAAGAACGTGCCACTTATCACACAGTTCACGAAAAAGATCACTCAGGAGGAGATGAAGAAACAATTAACCGTTAAACCTGATCGCACTACTCCTACGAACAGGATTAGTCAGGGTAAAACTCCAAAGAGGGCGACTCTGATCTCTGTCGGGAGAGGGGAGCAGTTTTCCAAGTCGTCGAAGAAGAGCTTGTTGAAAAACTTTATCAACAGCGAGAAATCTGTGAACAAGGACTCGCAGAAGGGTGAAGATGATGCATCGGATGGTGACTGCATCGTAATTGAAGACGGTTCTGAAAACGTACAGGCTGAGGATCAGGGGGTATCCGAGAGAGACGAGTCTGATGTTAAGATGGAAAGCAAAGGTCGTTTAGGCACGGTTCCAACGGAGAACGGCAGTGACAAGAAGGAGCAATCGTCAACGATTAAAGGCAATGACGGAACGTTGAAAAATAATACAGACCCAGAAGATGTAGTTACTGCCATGGATGTCGATGATCCCATAGAGGAAAATTGAGTTTCATGAGTTGAGGCAAGAATATAAAAAAAATTGAAGAAAATGTTGAAAAAAATAAATAAAAAATAAATAAATAATGTGATAAATAAGTAGCGATAAGAGACGATACAAATATGATGCTTTTAGTGAAGTAATATAATCGATGATATTTATACGTCTATTTAAATACATCGATGTGAATTTGTACAAACTTCTGAACTATGTAGTTTATTTTTATAAAACTCGTCTGTATTCGTTAATGTGAGGATAGATTATACAACTATTATTATTAAGAAATGAATATACTCTAGCCTTAAAAGTTGTTATAAAAGCTTGTAGTATTAGTTACAGTTAAAAACGATTTTATTATCGTATCGTATAGAAAAAAATAATATTTTTAATACGTGTCACGTGTACTCTGTTCCTGGAGTTTATATCGTTTATAAAATTATACAAATACACATGATATTTATTAGAGTTAAGAAGTTGCTTACGTTGCATTTGACTTCATTTTACATTGCTTCGAGTAACTGAGGGACCGAAGTGAATACCACAGCAAAAGTGATTACAGTGTAATTAATATAGTAATACTTTTATTCAAAATTTAACTCGTATCGTACATTGATTGCCTTACTGAACGACGAGTGATAAGTCAGCTGAGAAATTTGGATTGTTGAATGTATAAAATTGTTGAAGTGAATTCACAAGAGCTTTATGACATAATCACGTTCTGTTAACAATTATACTTTTATAAGAAATATTAACGAATAAATCGAAAAATATTCACACCGAAAACTTATTTATTAGCGTGTAATATTTTTGAAAAAAGTATTTCCATCTCCCTTCCCTGAATACATACTTACAGTATGAGTTTTCGTTTACTTTCTTAAATTTCCGTTTTTTTACTGTTAAGAAACGAAAATGTTCGTCTTGTCCACTCCTCAATCATAGTCAAGGATGCTTGGTCTGTCGAGTAAAGTCAGAATACGGTTTCCTCGAATTTTTCAGGACTTCCCAGAGACCAAAAGGTGAACAATCAGTTCCCGTAATGCCAGATTCCACCACCAAAAAGTTTCCCCGGCCGCCATAACATTTCAGCGTTTGGCTAATGCATTTGGCTGCGGGGAACGTGGAATTGCATTCCGTCGAACCGTGCCCTGGAGTTAAATACAACGGTTTTAGCGAAACTTTTGCTCAGCATCTGATTATTAGCTGGTAGCCATTTGTCTTATTGGATCGTTACGTTGCGTCGATAGGTCTGAATAAAAATGAAGGTAATACTCGTCAGTGCAAAAGTAGAAGCATAGTGCATCAAATAAAAGTAAATTGGAAGTCTAAGACAAAGTGTCTTTGTGTCAGAATGCCTTTTTAAAGAAATCAGTAATGAAAATTTCTAGGATACGCGATGGAACAAGTATTCAAGCTTGGTCTGGCCAACGTGTCTGTCCATTACTCACTTTTTCTACTTGGGTTAGTGTTCGTACCCATTGATGATAGTCTTGCGTTAGCTGTTTTAATTTTTGTTTAATAGCTCGTCACAAGTCCGAAGATTTAAAAACCATGCAGATTACTGCGAGTCTCGTTGAGAATTATTATTAATTCGTAATACAAAATGTAGAAGACATTCCCTGCACAGTTTCGCCACTAAGAAGTCTTACAGTTACCTGCAACTGTTGATCGTTCATCCACAAACAGACGGGAAGCACTGTGGAAGACGAGTACGAAGAAAAAAATGCAACGAAATTCGCTGACAACTCCCGTGGCAGCGAGTGCCGACTGTTTCCTGGGCTTCCAACCTCTACAGTAGAAAGAAAAAGAAATATACGTCCAGCAGGAAGTTTTACAGCGGGTAGCTCTGAACGTAGCTGCAGGGTGTACTCGGACGGCATATGGCCGGAATAAGGAAAGGCCTCTCCGTCCAGATTACGCCAATTATCGAATCACGTTACGGGATCTGGCGCCACGCGGCTCGAAAACGCAGAAATTAAGCTTCAACCCCCGAGGATGCGACTCGACCTCGCTTGGAACGAATTCACGCGAAAAACAGTTCGGAATAACGTTCGCGTGGTCGTTCTGGATGAAACTGGACGCGTCTGGACCAGGTATGAACTTTTGTTGAATCGATTTGGCTCCGTTTAAAATGAATTTGGATCGAGATGGTTATTTTTTTATTTGCAACTGGGGATGGTGACTTTGAAACTGATTAGAAGACGTTCGCTTCAAAGAAAGGGACGTTTTTACGTATGAATATAAATATTACGTACAATTTTTAAATAAAGGCTTTCGCGAGTATTATTCATGGCTTCCGAATGGTTGCAGCGTTTGGTTTCAGCTGGTTGCGTATAATTGTTACGAAGCATTGACGATCTGTTACGTTCATGAAAAACTTGGATATTCCTACTTTCACGAGTAATTTCCACCAAATTAATTATGAGCAAATTCCGAGGTGAAATACTCTACAAATACTCATCATTCCGGAGGTAGTTCCGATTCCTGGCTGCGGCGCGAAGAGGTCCGTCGAAATGTCGCCGCGAGCAGCAGCCAATCAGGAGTACGCAGCTCGCGGACCCGGCTCGGACCTCCCGAGGTCGTGTCTCTGGATATTAATGAGAGGATAGAGGAGGCGGCCGTCTCACACCACCACCGAGGTCTCGGCTGCCAGACTCACGGGGATCCTCACCGATGGAGAGAGGTTACGGCGGCCCTCCCGCCTCCGCCATCCCCTGTCGGGACGAGGGACGAGGAGGAACGTGGCAAAGAGGAGCAGGGAGGGAGGACCAGGGAGGGTCCTCCACCCTGGGACCAGGAGGAGAGGGAGGACGTCGTCGGGTCACGAGAAGCCGACGGAGGAAGGACAGAGAGACGGAACCCAGGCGGTGGCGACGGCGTGGAACGGCCGCGGGGAAAGAGAGAAACGGATGGATCTCCTGGACCGTTTCGAGGGGCAGGGGCAGGCAAGAGGCAGAGGACGAGAGAGGACCAGGAGGAAACGGAGGTCGAGAGACTGGGGAGGTGGAAGAGGAGCAACGGACAGAGTGAGAGAGAGAGAGAGAGAGTAAAGGCTGAGAGAGATCTGGAGCCCACGTAGGAGACGTTCAATACTGTAGCAACGACGCCGAGCCAACGCCATTGGCTACCATTTTCTCTCTATACCTTCTAGGCATACACCTTGTACTCTATTCCGGTCTACTCCACTTTATTCCTGCTTCTCCCCGTTCCAGGTCCTTCACTCTTTACCGCTTCCCCTCTTGGCTTGTCGAGGAGCCATCGAGATCGCGGACCGGGAGCACCTACGGACAAACGGAAGGGCTCGCGTTGCCAACCGACCGCTGTTACGTTACTTTTCATCCTGATATTTACAGAAAACTGTACCTTTTCTTAAGTTGCACGAGCTTTTACTTATTAACAACACACAAAACCCACACACGCCCCCAATCATCAAAATCACCTGTCCCCCATTCCAATCTGTCTCGCAACCTTTCGCCATCCATTCAAATCCTTCGAGACCTCTCAATTGCACCCAACCTCTCCTCGAAAGAATCGGCTCCTGGAATCCAAATAACACCGAGAAATCTCAGCATGATGGTGCACGATAGCGTTTCATAGCTACTCTGCGATCTCCACGTCCGCGAATCATCCTTATGATTACGGAACGAACCGCGGGGAAAATTTTCAGAGGCGGGACAAAGATCGGCGATCAGCCAAGGAATATAGGCGTCTTTCGTGCCGATTGCCGCACGTTGGTATTATTATTCCTGCTACCAATCGGCGCGGCGCGCCTAGACTTACGCAACGCCCGTGTGCATTTATCTATACGTGACGGCTGGGAGGCGAGGGCAGGCTTTCGGCCTTAGCATAATTGCCCGTAAAGGCCCCCGTAATACGTCTATTACGCCGATGCCTCTGTACACGGCTACTGACACAGGGCATCAATCCTCGCTCCGAGTATTCAATTAAGTAACCCTCTCCTCTGGCGCTCGCGCGCCCAGCCCCGCTTCCAGCTCGTCTCTCCACGGGACTTTTTATCCTGCTGCCCGAGGATTTTATCCTCCTGATCTATCGGACGTACTCTGGGAGACGGCAGCCACTGGATACTTCCCTCGAAGGATAATCGAAGCGGATGCCCTGAGTATCTGACGCTGATTTTTTTCGAGAATTAGGACCTCAAGGGAGGAATAGGGTAGCTGGAGTGGTGTGGCGAAAGTGATACGATTTGGGGTGTCTTTGGCTGTTAATGCTTTCGGTAACGAGAGCAAAGAATGAGGTGGTCAGAGTTGGTAGGAATAGGAGTGTGACTTGTGCTCTTCTTCATACTGTTTTATATCGTATGCTTATGCCTGAAATTGTTTATCTCTTTTCTCAAGCTATTTCTCTACCTGGGAAAATGCTCTAACTGGACATTACTAGATGAACGACGCATATTTAGGAGACATGGTACCATCATGAAGGGCGGGTTCCTCAGGATAAGGGAAGCAGAGTCGTCGCGCGCGCGGTCTGCAGCTGCCGGATCTTATGCTAATCCCACCCCCGGAGGCTAACCCTGGCGTGCGCATCGTATGAAAAAGTTGCTCGTTACACGCTCGCCCATAAATCTCCTTTCTAAAGCTTAATCTGTTCCCGACCCCACGGCCACGGAAAACTCGGCACGGGGGTGGCAGGTGTGTGCACGCCCGCGCCTCCTAGCCGTGGATTTTCATAATTTTTTATCCTTCGGTGAAATTTCAATTCCAGGCGGCTGTATCGCATGCGCGAAAACAGGAAACTTGACTGAGGATCCCGCTTATTCTGCAGCATTCTGAACCCATGTTCCCGAAGGAAACTCCAACAAGTAGGGGGAAGCTAAGGAATTAGCTCGTGACTGAAACGTCATCGACTGCCGTTGAAGGATTAAGGAAGTGTTCCGATCTAGAGGACAATTTTCTAGGTGGTATTCGTGAGTACGAAACAAAGAAAGCATTATATTTTAAGAATTATAATATATAACTGAATGCAGGACCTATGAAGGACAATGATGGAAAATACATGTCATCTCTTGATGCATCTACTGCAAAACACAGAACTAATATCTTCAGTGTTCCTTTTGACATCTGTCACTTGTAACACTAACTCGTCTTATAATTATTATTGAAACAGTATGATTAACGATTTCTGAAAAAATCGTTACGTCTGTCGTTACGCCTCATTAGACTCAAGATTTCGAAAGTAGTATCCAAAGAGTAATAAATTGCTTCGTGTATTCCGTGATAGCATTCCCAACCGTTTTCTTCTCAGTGGCATTTGGACTAGGCGTTGACGGTTCAACGGTTGTCGTAGCTGTATCAGTCGACGAGCTCTCGGTCGAGTTACTAGGCGCTTTCCAACATTTCACTTTTGATGGATAATTACAGTCTGATGACACTGGGTCGAACATTAAAGTGGTCCAACAACGGTGATACGGACACTGCATCCGATATCCCTTTTTGTCGCGGCACGAGTAGAACATCGTAGGATCATATTCGTGAGTGACGTTGCCCCAGCTGATTCCAGCGCACTCTTGAAGAAACGCGTAGGGCACTTCGACAGGCACCGAACTCACATATTTAGACGAAAGTGGTGAATTACCACAGTCGTGACCTGCTGGGAGAACGCAAGTTTGTGTCACCGGGTCGAACACTTCTGTGAATGTAATTATCGAGACTGGACACTGAGACAGGTACGCCTTCCTTCCCTTAACGCAAACGTAGAAGTGGTTGCAGTCAGTCTCGTGAGGAATTGAAATGGTACCAACTTTTGGACATTCGGTTAGGATTGCAG